AGTCGGTTGCCGCTGCTGATTGCTTCTTTGATTGCGTACAGGTTCTCCTTCTTTTCGATTGGTGGAAGATTGAAGTCTGAAGGTAATGATGGGCTGGTGATGAATTGCGGGGGGTTTCGGGCTGCTGATAATGGGAGGAGCTGCGGGAAAAAAAAATGGTGTTGTGGCGGAGAAGGTTTTTGTAGTTCGGTGGCCGAAAACTCTCCAAATAACAACCCTAGCCTCTCTTTATATAGTCTTTCTCCAGCCTTATTTCTTGGAGGTTAAGATTACTTGTTCCCTACTTCAAGTTGGATTAAATTTTCTGTCGAAAATCAAGCTCCCTCATCACCGCCACCAGCTGCAATTCCTTTGCGGTTTCATCGGCGGCAAGAAGTAGCAGCAAAATTTGGAAGCATCAAATTCAAAAACATGGGCCTCGGGCTTATTAATTCCAAGATCAAAACTCCAAAAGAAACAAAAGCATGGACCAGCCTGCTTTGTGATACGTGGGCTTCCAAAAGAAAATCATGGCCAAAAGCAATACTCCAACCCATGCAAATCTCTCGGCCAAACCAAAGCTTCAATTGAAGTATTGCACGTTTAGTCCTCTAACAATTTTGGTCCTCTGATTTCTTCCTCATTTATTACTCTCATCTTCAGTTCCGCCCATTTGAGTTGCTTTTATTTCTATTTTAGCTCAAAAATTCAACAATTCCTTCATTTGAGTACCATTCCTACAATTAAAGATAAAGTCACATAAATAGCATATTTTGTACTCAAGTATTGGCAAATATGTCGCATAAAGGAATATTAAATATTGGTAAATTATATGCATATCAGATGACATAAACGTAGATTCAACGAAATTTGAGGCGATCCTTTCCATGGAGGCACCAAGAACAATCAAAGAAGTTCATAAACTCACTGGCTCGCTCGCAGCCCTAAACGGGTTCCTTTCTTGTGCAGCTGAAAGATGCCCCCATTTCTTCAAAATGCTGTGGAAAGGAAAGAAGTTTGAATGGAACAAAGAATGTCAGCAAGCCTTTCGTGACCTAAATGAACACTTAAAGCAACTTCCCATGTTAGCTAAGCCTGAGCCAGGAGAAGTCATGTACATCTATCTGGCTGCTCGAGAAAAGGCCATCTCCGCGGTCCTAATTCAGAGGAAAGATGAGAAGGAAATCCCAGTATACTTTGTGAGCAAGGTTTTACAAGGAGCAGAATCTCGGTATACCTCCATGGAAAAGCTAATATTAAGCTTAGTGTTAGCCGCCTGACGGTTATGCCCTATTTTCAAGTTCATCCCATCCGAGTCCTGACGGAGCAGCCTATCCAACAAGTCTTCCTCAAACCTGAGGCCTCTGGCAGAATGATGAAATGGGCTATCGAGCTGGGGGAACATCATATTGAATACAAACCACGAACAGCCATCAAGGGGCAAGCCTTTGCAAACTTTCTCGTCGAAATGCCCCATACTCCAAGCACCTCACTTGATCCCCTGTCCGAAGTGCAATTACAGAAACACACTACGACGGATCCTCGAGCATGGACCCTTTACGTCGACGGCTCATCTTGCGAGAAAGGGGAGGAGCTGGCATCATCCTAGCAAAACCAGCAGCGGCACATAAAATCGAGAAAATGAAGGAGTATGATGCAGAGTACACATATGCTTTGCGGTTTGATTTCTCAATTACCAATAGTGTAGCTGAATATGAAGCGATGATCATGGGGTTGAATATGGCTTTGAAGCTTGGAGTTCAAGAACTTGAAGTTTTTAGCAATTCTCGGGTGGTTGTCAAACAAATCAACGGGGATTACACTGCTAAGGAGGAATACCTCAGAAAATATCTCAAGAAAGTCCTTTAATTGTGGGATAAGTTTGAGAAGTGTTCCATATCCCATATCCTTAGATCGAGGAACAGAGCTGACACCTTAAGCAAGCTGGCTTCATCCAATTTCGCACACCTTAGTAATAAGGTATGGTTTGAGATCCTCCCCTAACCTAGCATCTGACAGAGTCCAACGCTAACAATCAAGGAGGATGGAGATACATGGATGACACCATTTATTCAGTTTCTCACAGACAGAACATTGCCTAGCGACAAGTCCGAAGCTCGAGCGTTGAAATTAAAGGCCGTCAAGTATACTTTGAAGGATGGAATTCTTTACAAGCATGGGTACCTGATACCAATGCTATGCTGCATTGGTCCAAGACAAGCAGCCTACGTCCTCGAAGAAATTCATGAAGGTTCGTGCGGCGCACAGATGGGAGCTCGAGGATTGGCCAAAAAGGTTCTCCGAGCAGGTTACTTCTGGCCTACAATCTTCAAAGATGCATATCAATTCGTGCACAAGTGCGATCGATGTCAGCGATTCTGTCCCAATACTCGACAACCACAACATGAGATGGTCACTATCCAAAGTCCTTGGCACTTTTATCAGTGAGGCACTGACATCATCGGCCCTTTTTCAAAAGGGGCAGGAGGGCTACGATGGGTTATCGTAGTAATGGATTATTTTATTAAGTGGGTAGAAGCTAAACCATTGGCCTCGATATCTGGAAGGAAAGTGTTGAATTTTTTTTGGCAAAATGTGGTCTGTCGATTTGGAGTGCCCAGAGTAATTGTATCAGACAATAGGACTTAGTTCGAGAGTGATCCTTTCAAGTCCTGGTGTGGCGAGATGCAATTTGAACGATTGCACAGCCTTTATAGCACCAGACTTTGGATTTTTTCTGAATATTATACCAATCCTTGAACTTGGTCGAAGGCACATAGACTTTGAAAAAGTACCTCCACATGAGCAATCGAGGTCGTACATTCACCAATTCACACAGTTTTACAAACCCAAGGACGTACATTATTAAATTTGGGATAAATCGAGCAAGTGTGATCTCATAGTGTTGGACAATTTCTCCAAACAGAGGAAAAAGGGGGAATCGAAGCCCCAGAAACATAAAACGGTCATAAACAGTAATTTTTCCCTCAGATGGAGTATTAGCCCTCGTTACCTATCGGGGCTCGAGGTTCTAGATCTAAGGAGATGCTATATTTTTCAGCTACAACTTTGGCTTTCTGGTTAGAGTTTATGGTGGATTCAAAATCAGAACCAATTTTCAAATCAGGGTTTCTAGCTATATCTAGCAGCAATGAATAAAACCTATATTCAGATATAGAAATGCCAAAAATGAAAATTTAGAGTTTCAGATACTTACTAGAACCGATTTCCACTCTCCTTTCGAGTTATAGCCTCCCATGGTAGTGATTCTCCTCGATGGCAGTGAACGCAGATACTTCTGGCAATGCTGACAAGGGCACTGGAATACTGGATGGTGAAAAAGCTCTCAACACTTTGTAAAGTAAATTTTGGAACAAATGAAAGGGTTGGATGTGGAGCTTTCTTTCTGTGAATATATGTCAAGGGAAAGGCAGGTTCGCTTCCCACGATTTGACAGTTTTGCCTAGTTTCAAGAAGTAATGATGATAAGTCGTCGTTTGGGGGAACGTACGAGTTAATGAAGCTTGTCTGCTTCCATTTGAGCGGGATATTGAGTCGGGTCACCTCCCCGGTTCGGGTCTTCGCTCGCAAAAAATATTATTCACACTAGGTTTATACGATTTGGGCTCTAGGCTACACACATCTTGGGCCATGACTTGTCCAATCACTTTGGGCTGAGTCCAGGTAATGTTTGTTTTATGTCAAGTCTTGTTTAATTCACACAACTCACACTTGACAGGGGCACTTGACGAGTCTGTATCCACCACGGGTCATTAGACCGACCCATCCGCCAATTACAAATCCAACCGACTGTGTTAAGGAGGTTCAGTAATATGAAATCTAGTAAGATTTGGACATCCACCAGGTAATTTTATGCCTATAAATAGGGTTGATCAAGCCATATTTGAGGTACGCAATCTACAGCTTCCAATAGAAATTAGACCATATTCATAATCCTATTTCTGACTTAAGCATGGGAGTGTCTACCCTCGGGAGACTCTCGAGGCTCTCTTTTGCAGATCAGCAAAAACCCATTGGAGTTCCGTCGTTAGACCAGTGGTACAAATCCAGGCTTCGTCAGTTAGCCATTTAACTTGTATTTCCTCCTTTATCCTAGGTAGTTTTGGAGATGTCAACTACATCATCTCTATTTATAGAGATGTAGAGGGGCTGAATACTGTGGGAAGAAGAAGGCAAGATGTAAGAATGCCTAGAGTTTTGAGAGATTGGGGAGAAGTCTAACCTGAAAGTAGACTTCAGTGGAGAAATAGCCAAGCCCGGAAAATTATTGGCTAGGGACTGAGAGCCTAGAATTGGGTTCTTATCTCATTTAAGACGTGAATCTCTTGTAAGTTTTGTGTTGAATAATAAAACTACAAGTGATTGAGACTTCGGTCCAAGATCTAAATGTTTGCGTGTCTTAAAATAATTTCTTGGCATGTTACTAAGCGAATTTCTTCTGCTACGTGATTGTTTACCTGGTTGGTGAGTTTTGGCGAATGTGTACTGAAAAGATGTTCAATTGAGTTTGCTTCATGATTCATGAGATAAGAATCTAAAAAAGAAGTGCATATTATTATGAGATTTTTTATTTTTTTTTCTTGTTTGCTTCTGATTTTGGAGAAAGTAACAATGTGTTTCTTCATTGTTGAGATAGAGAAAAAAAAAAAGCAAAGAAGGAAATAATCAGACCTACAAATTGCTTGCCACTTCTCTTATAAAATATTCAATGTGTTTAGGTGTTGTTTAATTTTATGTAGCCTACTTTTAATCATATCATCTAATAACCATATTATTTGAGTGAATAATGCAGTCAAATATATACATATATATATATATATATATTGGCATACCATACCATCATCATATAAAGTTTCAAACTATCTTACTGTATTAACATACCATTAGAGATAAATGTATAATTCCTCTACATCCTCTTATCTTCTATATGCGTAATGGCATATTCAAGGATGTCTTTTTCAAGAAAACCATAGAAAAGGGAAAAACAAAGAAGACTATCAATGGAGGAGGAAGATAGTAGTTTCGAAAGAAGTTATATACCTCTCTTCAGGCATGGTAATGGTAAGAGGTCTATGCTGCCGGAGCCGAAGGTGTTGGGATTAGGTAAGAGTCATATGGTGCAGGGACCAAGTAAGAAACCTATGGTGCAAGGTGTTAAGTATGATAGAGCGGATGATGATGATATTAATAGAGAGAATGATGAGGATAGTGAGATCCCCGAGAATATGAGGATAAAGATAAGGATCGAGATGAAAAGTTTTACAATCTGGTCTACAGGCGTGCCACAAAATTTCCTCTACAACTCATCACAGAATACATATCTATGGGTTCCGACTATCAGTATGGTGGTCACATATCCGGATTCAACCACCATCAACTATGATAACCAAAAAGATCATATTGTTGTTGCATGTCGTCCAGTTTCAAGAAGAAGAATAAGGCCACAGGCAAGACGAACAATATATACTTCTTCATCCCAATGACATGTCATTGACGCTAATGACAAGATAACATGGTTTCCCTATCAACATGGGTAGAGCTAGGAGGGGGCTAACCGGTGTTGTCGTGCCCCATCCATTTTTTTAGATTTTCTTAAGAGCATGTAAAATTATCTATATAATTCAAAACCACTTCTCACTGCCACGTCAGGATTTCACTACACCATCACTTTTTATACTTTTTCTTCCAACAATTTTACGCTCACCACTCATATAATTTTGGATCGATAACTACCCCACTATTACTACCCCACCACTATTCCACTCTTAATGCTTTACTATTTTTAAAAATATTTATATTTATATGAAATTTCATTATTTTTAAAAAAAATTAAAAAACATAAGAAAATAAAAAATACTAATTATCGTTAACTAAAAATCATAATAATAAAGTATAATAATTAATTTAAAAATAACTTCAACGAAATTTCGCTATATTATGACATTCATAGAGATAGCAAACAATCTAAAAAATTTAATAAATAAATAAAATGGGCAAGAAATGGGAAGGGAGAAAATTGTTGTTCCATTGTGGAAATTAAAAAGAAAAAAGGAAGCAACCGTCATAATAAAAAGGAGAACAAAAAAAAAAGGAATAGCGCAAAAGACAAAAAAAAAGAAAAAAAAGGAATGGGAGGTGCTGGTTAGCCCTGCCAGCCCCCCACTTCTTGTTAGAATTGAGCATGTAATATATTTGATATGCCTAACAAGAAAATACAACCTCCAAAAACAACATCAATTTTCCTCCTTGACATTATATGACAATTGCACTATTGTTATACATGTCTTAAGAGTGTAAAAAATTTGTTAAATGAAAAATTACAATTGGTAAATCTCGTATCGGTTAAAAGGTTATTAGAAACTTTCTAATTAAATTTTGTAAAAAATATCATATTACTGTATATTATTGAATAAAAATATTTTTAAAAAACAAAAGTTTAAGAAGCTTTTATTAATTTTATATGTTACAAATGATAATGATGTAAAATTCATTAACAATAATGATATAACAAATAAAAGATGTTCAAATCCCAAATCAATTAGAGTAACAAAAATTTAAGATGGGAGTGAAGGCCCAAGTCTTTTTTTTTAATCAACAGAAAGGAAGGTAATGATGGCATTCAGGTTCTGACTAGCTCAAAAAAACTCAAGGGGTATGTAAAGTTTTGACCTAGCAACTGCTATATAGTATAATGCTTCCAAGGGGTCTATCCAAGGGATGGCATATATACTATATAGTTCCCTAGTTCTACTCATCCCTGATTATATTAATTTCAATATAGAGAAATGACAGCCTATTGACCATAAGTACATCAGAAGCTCCTACTTCGAATATAAGGAAAGGATAATTGATCTAATATTAATAATCCTTTTACATATTTGATAAGCTATCTATAGAAGAAAAGACTTGAGATGCTCCAGTAGTAGCTTCCTTGGCCAGCCAATCTGCAATAGAATTCGCTTCTCTATATACATGAGTAATATGAAACCCATTCCTCAGCATGATAGACGACATTTCCTGCAGAAATAAAAGATGTCTCCAGGGGAACCCCAAACCCTTAGACAATACCTCAGCCAAAACCAAGTTATCCATCTAAATCTCAACATTAGAAAGACCCAATTGCTCACACCTCCTTAAGCCAAATAGGATGCCAGAAAGCTCAGCTATGAAGCTATTACCACCACCAAGATATCCACTTTTGCCATGAACAAAAGATCCACATGCACCTCTAATTACAAAACCATAGCCGGCTTCACCAATGGTTGATGAGCCATCGGTATTGAGAATGAAAGAACCAATAGGAGGTGGCTGCCATTTAACCTCCAAAACCCTAGTCTGAGGAACTCGACCAAGGTTTAAATGGAAGACATTTTTTAAAAAATTCTTTTCATCCTCATTCCGAATCTTTAAATCATGGATCATCATCAAACAATGAACCTGGTCCATAATGACATGTACTATGGCTGAGAAATCAGGACGAATATCTTCAAAGAAAGTCTTATTTCTAGCCTTCCACAACTCCCAAATAATGATGGAGGGCAAAAACTTTCTTAACTCACCATAAGCTGACTTGAAATCCCCCTTGCGCCACCATCGACCAAGCAAAGAAGCAATAGAAGTCACTCCATTAATATTAATTTGCATCAAAGCTAAAAAATGTTGCCATACCTTCATAGCAAACTCGCACCCAAAAAAACAATGAGCAATATCATCACCATGCTTTTTACAAAGCAAGCAAATCGCCGGATAGCAGTGAATTCCCATAGGCGCTAAGATTTCCGGAAAAGGGAGAAGCTTGTACCGCAACTTCCTCAAAAAAATTTCTACGCAATGGTGTTATTGAATTCTAGACATTCTTACTCCAACTTTCTACAACTCCCCGCCTCCGCAAAGTTTCATAAGCATACTTGACTGTTAACTCCCTTTAGAGGTGTGCTGTCACATGAGAAGATCATCATCCTCTAAGAAGACTTGATCATGCTCCACAAAAAAGCAAAGAATTCCATCTATCAAAACCGGCTGGATTAGAGGGAGATGCATTTGCCTATTCCTGAAGAAATCACCAATGCTCAAATCCGGTAGAGGAGGATTCAATCATTGTATATCCCAAAGAATTCCATATGGCGACCAGTTATCAAACCAGAAGGATCAATTTCCTCTACGAACAATAACTTTAGTATGCACCATTGCCCTATGATCCACTTTCGAGACCCGCCTCCAAGAGGTTTTCTTTTTAGATGTATTGGACAGAGAAAGAATGAAGTTACTCCAAATGCCACTTCGATTCTTAAGCTTCCACCATAGTTTCACAGTCAAAGCATCAATAAAATCACTAAAATTCCGAAGTCCCAAACCATTTTCAGAAACTAGAAAAGTGATTCTCTCCCATGATCTCCTATGCCACCTTGATACATCACCCATTCCAATCCAAAGGAATTTTTTACACTTCTTTTCAACTTCTGGAAGAATAGATTCCGGAGGTGGTAGCGCTGAAAACACATGTACCGGAATAGAGGATAAAACATGCTTAATCAACACCAAGCGACCACCTTGACTAAGCATTTTGTTCTTCCAACTGAGAAGCCTTCTATCAAAGGTGTCCAGTAAGAACTGATAAGTTGCCGCTTTCCTTCTTCCCATGTACAACTTGCAACCAAGATAAGTAAATGGAAACGTTCCTTTCTGAATGCCAAGATGCCTTTGAATAGTTGCTACCCTCCTTGCACTACAATTATCCTCAACCATAAAAAAACTTTTTGGCCGGCTAACTCTTTGACCCGAAGCAATCTCATAGTCTGATAGAAAGCCATTAGCTCTCGCAGTGATCTTTGCAAACCCCTTGAAAAAATAATAACATCATCTGCGAAAGCAAGATAGGAAACTGGTAAAGAACCAGCCGGTGTACCATAAGTAGCAACCCTACCATTCACAACCAGCTCCTTCAACCGTCGCGTCATAGCTTCAGAGACAAGAATAAATAGATAAGGAGACAACGGGTCGCCTTGCTTTATACCTCGGGAAGACTTGAAAAATCCAACCAGCCCTCAATTAATCATTACCGAAAACCAAGCATTCTTCAGATTATTCATAATCAATGAAATAAAGGCCAAAGGAAAACCAAAACTAAGCGACACCTTCTTTAGGAAGCTCCACCTCACTCTGTCAAAAGCCTTCATCATGTCTAGCTTTAGAACAAAATTTCCCCCTTCCGCTTTACGGCCTAAAAATTGGCATAGATCGTGCGCAAGCAACACATTATCCATTATATCCCTCCCATGCAAGAATGTTGATTGCTCAGCCGAGATATTCTTGGCAACACAACTTTGATCCGCTCTGTCAAAATTTTTGTGAAAACCTTATTCAAAAAGTTGCACAAACTAATGGGCCGATAATCAGCAAAAGTTGTAATCGCATCTTTCTTCGGGATGAGAGTGATCAAAGTACTTGAGATAGATCTAGGAATGGGATGCCTAGCATAAATTCCTGGCAAGCCTTCAATAGATCACTAGCAACAATGTCCCAGGATCCTTTATAGAACGTCCCTCCAAAGCCATCAACACCCGGTGCACTTTTCTCAGTCAAGTTAAAGACAGCTTCCTTAACCTCCTCAAGTGCAATAGGCCTCAAAAAGATAATTCCATAATTATTATCTAGAAACTGTGGAATGTGGCTTAAGACCTCTTGTTTCTCTTCATAAAGAGGGTCAACGTCACTATCATTCAATAGAGCCTTAAAAAAAGAAACGGCTTCTTGCTCAATATCAACTAGATTAGACAACATTGCACCATTTTCTGATTGGATTTTATAAATACCTTGTCTCATTCTTTTTCCTTCAAAGATGCATGAAAAAATAAAGTATTTGAATCCCCTTCCTTCATCCATTTAATTCTCATTTTTTAAGACCAAAAATCATCATGTTCCTTGATTTTCATTAGCAACTCAGCCTTGGTAGCATGAAGATGGGCTCTATCTTGGATCAACCCCGAGGCATCATAGGCACCCTCAAGCTCTTGTACTTTACTTTCAGCCGCCTTCAAGTTTGCAAAAATGTCACCAAAACACTCCTTATTCCACTCCTTTAATATACTTTTCAGCCTCTGTAGCTTGAGTGAAAAACCTAACATTCCATATGAATCTATAGGCAACTCCCAATTCTCTTTCACCATAGCCAAAAACTCCGGTCTTCGTAACCACATTTTCTGGAAACGAAACACCTTTGGTTTACTAGATTAATTAATTTAGTATAATAAAGTAAAATTAATTAATTTAGTATAGATTTCTTGAATGAGAAAAAAATATTATAGTAATTTTGTATAATACTTAAAAAAAATAGTTTTTAGTACTTTTAAACAATTGCAAGGTTTACTCAGCTCCTCAAACAACTGCAAAGGTTTTCGTAGAGTAATTCTTGGCATATTGCAGACTGCTAAAACCCTCTTTGTATAAGTAGGATCCTACATAGTTGAGATTGAATGTCAAGTCA